ACATACATTACATACATACATACATTACATTACATTACATTACATTACATTACATTACATTACATTACATTACATTACATTACATTACATTACATTACATTACATTACATTACATTACATTACATTACATTACATACATACATACATTACATTACATTACATTACATTAGATTACATTACATTACACATACATACATACATACATACATACATTACATACATACATACATACATACATACATACATACATACATACATACATTACATTACATTACATTACATTACATTACATTACATTACATTACATATACATTACATTACATTACATTCATTACATACATTACATAACATACATACATACATACATTACATACATACATACATACATACATACATACATACATACATACATACATACATACATACATACATACATACATACATACATACATACATACATACATACATACATACATACATACATACATACATACATACATACATACATACATACATACATACATACATACATACATACATACATACATACATACATACATACATACATACATACATACATACATACATACATACATACATACATACATACATACATACATACATACATACATACATACATACATACATACATACATACATACATACATACATACATACATACATACATACATACATACATACATACATACATACATACATACACATACATACATACATACATACATACATACATACATACATACATACATACATACATACATACATACATACATTACATACAACATTACATACATACATACATACATACATACATACATACATACATACATACACATACATACATACATACATACATACATACATACATACATACATACATACATACATACATACATACATACATACATACATACATACATACATACATACATTACATACATACATTACATTACCATTACATTACATTACATTACATTACATTACATTACATTACATTACATTACATTACATTACATTACATACATTACATTACATTACATTACATTACATTACATACATACATACATACATACATTACATACATACATACATACATACATACATACATACATACATACATACATACATACATACATACATACATACATACATACATACATACATACATACATACATACATACATACATACATACATACATACATACATACATACATACATACATACATACATACATACATACATACATACATACATACATACATACATACATACATACATACATACATTACATACATACATACATACATACATACATACATACATACATACATACATACATACATACATACATACATACATTACATACATACATACATTACATTACATTACATTACATTACATTACATTACATTACATTACATTACATTACATTACAATACATACATACATACATACATACATACATACATTACATACATACATACATACATACATACATACATACATACATTACATTACATTACATTACATTACATTACATTACATTACATTACATTACATTACATTACATTACATTACATTACATTACATTACATTATTACATTACATTACATTACATTACATTACATTACATTACATTACATTACATACATACATACATTACGTACGTACGTACATACATACATACATGCATACATACATACACTACATACATACATACACTACATACATACATACATGCATACATACTTACATTACATTACATTACATTACATTACTTTACATTACATTACATTACATTACAATTACATTACATTACATTACATACATACATACATTGCATACATACATTACATACATACATACACACATACACACACATACAGTACATTACAGTACAGTACAGTACATAACATTGCATTGCATTGCAACACATTACACTACATACATGCATACATACATAGACACGCACATGCATACTCACACACACACACACACACGCATACATACATACAAACATGCCATTACATTACATTACATTACATCTTATTACATTTCATTACACTACATTGCACTCCATTGCAGTGGCGTATATATATATATACACACAGTTACATTCAGGCTCAAATATGTGTGCATACGCGTTCAACAGCTAGCTTTACAAACATGGACGTACAGCACTGTCATTTATGCCAGTGTGTAGAACCTCTACACAAATTTGCAGAACGGGCTTGGGCGCTGCTTACGCGCTCTCGGCATCCATTCGATTGCATGAAACGGGCCATGCAAGCCGGGCATCTATTGGCGAAAGCAAAAATGAGGGAAACTCGTGTTGAGACATGTGACTGTGTATCTAAATGAGGAACCACTCCGCTCAAACTACCCCTTTGAATGGGACACCTTTCTATGCTGTGGCATATACTCATTGCATGCAAGCTTGAGGATCCAGGGGCACTTATCAAGCACGCAGTTCTCTCCTGGTCCGAATCCGGGCTCCGCGTCTCCTCGTCCTGCCAAATCCGAGTCTGCTTAGGTCCATACTCCAAGAGGTTCATTGGTGAGGTGGCTGGATCACAGTTCACCCTGAACTGAGAAATGCACAAACGAGCCAAGACAGCAACCTGCATCAGGGGTGAATTTGGTCAGAATCTTTATGGTTGTGTGAACTCTTTAAAGAGCTAGCCCCGAGGCAAAGGTGTCTTTTGATCGTGGCGCAGATCACAAAGCTTGGCCGCATCTGGGGTGCACAAAGAAGCAGATTTTCAGATTCGGCTTCATACAGCGCTACAACATAAAACTGCTTTGGAAGAATTTTGGCTGTCTGAACTCCCAGAAAGGGTTCACCCCAACCCCCCAGGTCAGGAAGTGGTCCTTTGACCACTCCGTCCCACCACATTCCCAAAATGGACCCCCCGTTGGGTTGGTACGAGGCTAAGGCATCCAAAAGGAAGCCGCTGCCATTTGGCCATGGGTCAAAATCCCGAACCAGTGAACATCCCAAAAATACAAAAATAGGTTCTAAAATGGGTGGTGCACCTACGACAAGAGTCGACGTCCCGGTCCGACAGCTCCTCGAAGTCCTCCTTCGCCTCGCGCGCCGCGACTTGGCCTCGGCTTCTAGAGACAATCCGAAGCGGGCGAGAAGTTTCTCGGGCCCTTTAAAGGGGGGCACCACAAGGGTGAGTTCAACAGTGCTTCAGCTATATAGGTGAGCGTGAGCGTGTGCGCGCTGAACTGAAAGGAAAGCGAGCATTTTGGGGGTCCTCTATTGTGACCCACACACACAAACACACACACACACACACACACACACACACACTTATCTCGAGAGGCTTCACTAGCCGAGATGCAAAACGCAGTCAGTAAAAATGCTTGAATGCAAATGCAAATCAACAGGTCACAACATCGACACCGAACAGGAAGCAACAGCGACAAACAGAAACCGCAAAAAGAATCAGGAAAGAGGGTCAGGAAATAGGCAGGTACGCCGGATTGATCAGATCCGGTATCCACCGAAATGCCGTAGCTTCATTGGACTGGATAGGCAAATCGGCTCCAGTCCCCCTGCAATGTGGAATTTCCGTCCGTGCTCCAGGACGCTTCACACACACGGAGCCCCAACTGGGGCGACATCACTTGTGCAAGGCCCATTGAGTCTTGCAAGCATCAATTGTGCGAGAAAGTCTTGTGGCGATGACTGACCACACATACTTGGCTTTGGAATTGGTCTTAAGGGAACGGAGGAGTTCAATCTCTCCCTCAGTCCAAGGCTGCGAGGCTTCAGGTTCGGCCTCAGTAGAGGCATCAGTCCTGGTCGATGTGGTAGCTTCGCTTGGTCCACGAGCAGGTTTTGGATGCCGTAGATCGTGAGGAGACCAAATCACGTGCGCGGCGAGCTCCTTTTTCGCCGGGAGAAGACGAAGGAGGGGTGGGCGGAGCCCAATGATCAGGGAATTGTTCGTCATGATCAGTGGGAAGGTGTTCATCTGGAGCATCAGGAGGTGGCTCAAAGAGGTCCTCAATGGCGGGGTTGAGCGTGGCCTCCGGTGCCAAATCAGGTTCGGCAGTCGGACTCTCAGTGAACTCGCGGATGGTGGCGATGCCTTGTTGGGCAATGCCAAGGATGAGTTCGAAGTCTTGGAGCAGCTGGCGTGCTGTGTTGGTATCCATGCTCGCAACGGATTTTGGTCAAACAGTCAAACAGCTGCGGCACGAAAATCAGGTCAAATCTGTCAGGGTGCAAAGGCAGAGAAGAAAACCAGTGTGGTTTCGCAAAGGACGGTTTTTCTTCTCTTTGTAAGGTGAAACCGTGTTGGAGGTACAACCTCTTCAACATTGCAAGATCCTGATCTCGCTGAAATTCAGGAAAGGAAACTCGGCTGATCAGCGTGCGTCTGGAATAATATCCAGATTCCTTATGTATCATTGGTGCGGCTGACTTGACGGAGAGCATGTTGTGCTTCTCATGCGAGGGAATGAAGGAGATGGTGCTGCTTGTGAGGTTCAGTCGGAACCCCAAGAAGTCCAGGGCGGCTTCTGTTTCCAGGAAGATGTCTCCTCCATAGAAGTGTTCGTCGCACAGTATGTTGGCTGCCGGAGTCGAGAGCCACCTGGGGGTTGCGATCACGAGTCTGTTGTCCACGTAGCGGAGCAGGAGAGTATCTTCAACGGAGCGAAGTCCCGATGTGGTGTGAGTGTTGGTCCAACATTGTTCGGCGACCGCGATCACCATCAAACAGAGAGCTGGGGACGCGGGGGATCCCATCGGTGCCCCACGTGTTTGCCTGAATGAACGAAGGCCGACAGAGAAGATCTGCATGTCAAGGGTGGCCTGAATGATCTCGGGGATGTCGTCGAGCCACAGGGTGCGTTGTGTGGGTTTGTGTCGGCGACGGCGTCCGTTGTAGACGCGGGTGATGGCAGAGGTGTCAAGTGTGTCCACTGTGAGGTGTGTGGTAGAGGAGTGTGGTTGTCGTTGTCGGTACCAGGTTAGCAGTAGTCGCCAGGCTGCTAAGAAGCGGTCTTTGTCGATGGAGGTGAAAAAACCGGAAAGGTCCTGGTTTCGGTAGTCCAAATGGGTGTGGCCGAGGCTTAGAAACTCGTGCAAGGACCGCATGAGTTCAAAGAGGTCGCCACCTGAAAACGCGTCAGGGCAAGCCGTGGCCACCATGCTGTGGAGGAGCTTGGCGAGAGCGTCGAGCATGGGTCGGAAGAAGGCGCCAATGAAACTGATGATGGGTCGGGCAGTGGTCCAGTTCTTCTTCCTCTTCGGGAGGATGTAGGCGTTGGCTGGCCTTCCGAATCCGGTCACGGCCCAAGGATAGCGGCCGCGGAATCTGGTGACAATGGTTTCTCGTAGTCGTTGGTGGATCTCAATGGCAGGGACCGGCAGAGGGGCGAAGATGGCAGGGTCCGCAAAAGTGGCTTCCAACATCTTGCCGTAGAGAACGGGACAATAGATCATGAGTCGGGAGTCCGCATGGTCTTCGCAATGGCGGACAAGGGGTTCCAGGGTATGCAGAGCCCGTTGGACGTGGGCGTGAAGAAAGTACTGTGATGTGTGTGAAAGGTGGAGGTCGAAATGGAATTCGACAATAGTAGTGAGGGTTGATGGGTCGAGCGCGGGTAGGTTGTTGGTCCTGGCCCAGTGTTGAAATGCCTGGGTCAGGCGACTCATCAAGACCCCTCGTGGAGGAAAGAAGGAGTTGCGCATCGATCCGGATAGCATGTGGGCAGTGTCGGAGTCGAACAGCTCATGGGTGTCTGCACCGGAGAAAAGAAGGTGTCCGTCATGCTTCGGGAGGGATGGGTGTTGTTGGGCGAGGTCGGTGCATGTGCAGGTTGTTTCACCGAGACTCCAGGTTTTTGCTGCCTGGAGATGTGAGAACAAGGCACTGGAGAGTCTCCGATGTGCCTTGAAGACAATGCGTGGTTGTGCCATGTGAAACGGTAAAGCGCTGCGAGTGGTAGATCGAATAAACCCGCGAAGTTGGGTTAAAAGCAGGGATCGGAAAGAAGGATGGGCGAGGAATGGTGCAAGCATCGGTCTGGAGGGGCCAGGTGGAATGAGGCCCCGGAATCGTAAACTGGATCGAATGGCGGACAGGCATGCCTGGTGGTGTGGTTCAGGCAGGTGCGTGGCTATGCGATGAAGGACATAGAGAGCGGCGGGTGGGAAGTCTCTGCTCCGTATGTAACGGATGGCATCAAATCGTCGTAGAGTGTTGCTGCCAAGATCGCCCAAAAATCGCCACAAATCTAGGCGGTTGTTCATGCGCTTGGCCAGGAAGGCCTGTTGTAGGGCGATGGGTAGTCGTAGTCGGCGGCGTTTTCGCCAGATGGTGGCGAAGCCCATGTGCCGGGATTGGGAGAAGTCCAATTGGCGTGTGAAGCCCGTGCGTGGCCGGAAATGTCTCTCGATGAAGCCAAAATTGAGAGACGGTTGCAGTTCCTGGATGTAGAACTGTTCAGTGGCAAATAGGTCCGTTGCTGGAACGGCAGTGTGAATGGGCACCGAGGTGTAGTGGTGGAAAATGTCAAAATGTGCCCACCACCGGACTGCTAGTTCGGCATTGACCAGATGATGTCGCTGAACTTGGAGTAGTTTGCGAAGTCGGCTGTGGTCCCGTGCCATGAGGGAGGTGCGAGTGGCTCCGAGGTAGAAAAAGGTCTGCCACTTTGGATGGCTGGTGAATCTCAGATAAACCGCTGAAGGGACAAGCTGAGAAGAGAAATCGGAAGCAGGGTTGTCCAGGCCAAGTCGAGTAAGCAGGGCTTTCAGTCTGCCGGAACCACAGGAGAGATGGCAGACGTCAAGTAGCTGAAGCTGTGCGAGTAGCCAGGAGCAAAAATGACGTGCGGTGACGTCATCGGTTGGGAAGAACCGAAGAGTGAAACGGAGGACAGTGAGAAATTGGCAGCAGTGGTGTTGCCAAAATTTGTGCTGCCTGGCTGTGCGTCGTTGTCGGTGTGCTGTTGAGAGTCACTGGTAGAAGTGACTCGCAGCGGCCAGGATGCGGCCCAAGGCCGATGACCCCAGTTTTGATAGGGTTCGCACCGGGATGCCCCATAGCACAGCGGCTCGTTCGAGTTGGGCTCTGGTGTCGGAGTCCAGTGTGGTTGCCCATTTTGCGCAGTCGTTGGACCAGCTTTTTAGGACTTGCTTGCTCTCTTTGCTGGTTTTCTGGGAGGTGATCCATCGCTGGACTTTGGTGTCGGAAAGGTCGGGTGGGAAGTTGTTGGTGAGCCATTGGCAAGCGTGGGGAGGTGGTTGGAGCAAGTCGCGGGGCTCCTTCCAAGTGGGTGGGGAGGGGGGATGGGGAGGGGTCGGGGTGCCGCCGTGGGTGGAGGGGTCATGAGGGTTGCCGCCGAGGGTGGGGGGAGCCGGGGGGGGTTGGGAGTCGTCTGCAATGCGAGTGGGCAGGGGTAGGGCGGGGGATCCGTCCTGCGGTGATGCGTCAAGTGTAGTCAACCGTGGTCGCTTCATGCCGAAGTCCAGGAGGGAGGCCTGAGATGGATCGGCTGGGCGTTTGTTGGATGAGGTGGGTGTGGGGGGGAGAGGGGGGGATGAAGCCTGCTGGGCGAGTTGGTTGTGTGCGTCAGCAAGCTGTTGCTGAAGCTGGAGTATGGTGGCCGCGGAGGCCGGATCGGCCGTAGTGGTGGGTCGGAGGGAGATGAGGAAGTCGAAGATCTTGTTGGTGAGTAGCTTCATGGCTGCTGGTTTGGTGGTCGAGGCGCCCTCCTGCGTGGCTACATGGAGGGCGAGGGCGTCCAGGTCGAGGTGCCGTTGTCGGATTTGGCTGAGTAGTCCAGCAGCAAACACTGATTCCGGCATCGACTTTGCGACAACGATGCGGACTTCGCCTCCGTGGGCGAGGTGACGCAACCACCAACTGTTCCACTGTTCGTGCATGAGGTGGAGGAGGGGGACGCGAGCGATGTCTTGTCCCTCGATGCCCATTTGCCGAGTAAACGCGGTGTGCGTTATGACCTTGGGCAGGTCGTACCCCGCGACGCGGGTGGTGTCGTAGTGATCGTCGCCAGGGTTGAACTCGGCTGGTGTTGGGACTGAGTGGACGGGTCGAAGTGCCGGGGGAGGTTTGGTTTGCGAGGCGGTGGAGGGGGAGGGGGAAGGTGGAGGGCGGGTGAAGTTGCCGGGGGGAGGGGGGGGAAAGGGGTTGCCGCCGGGAGGGGGGGGGAGAGAGCCGCCAAAGGAGGGAGGACGAGGGCCGGGGTGTGGTGGGAAATGGGGACTAGGTTGGCCGTAGGTCTGACAGGGAGTCGGATGTGTAGTTGGCGGTGTCCATGTCGTGGAAGAGCATCCGTAGGAAGGTCCGGACAGGGCCCCGCACGGGTTTCCGGCCATGTTGTTGCCGTACATGATGCCGTGATGATGGGATGCCGTGGGCGAAGGCTGCGGTGGTAAGTTTTGCCTTTGGAGCATCGGAACCAAACCTCGAGGGGGTTGGAAAGCCATGCGAAAAACACGGGGGAAAAGGAAAGTTCGAACCAAAAAGCTGGTGAGCGGAATCAAGCGGGTAAGGTCACAAGGCGAGAAAACGGTCGCAGAAAGGCAGAACAGCAAAGCAAAGAAAAAAGGCGATCAAACAGTGCACCAATTCTTTTCCTGGTTGGGTGGAAGATGGTACACTTGCGCCCCGCTAAGCCGGGCGCTGCAGCGCGATGCCTCTCAGCATCGCAAACTTGGAGTGAAGGCACCACTTTTTGCCTCGGCGGCATGCGAAGTGGCGCCGCACGTTGTGTTGATCCTCGTGGCTTCCCCCGGATTCGAGGATTTTGTGCTGATTGATGGAGCGTAGTTCCCCAAAAGCGATGGCGCCGAGTTGAGACTTTCCGATTGTAAAGTTCTGCAAGAGCTGGCCGAGCGTGTCGGGCGTGCATGCCGTGGGGGTGGCCTGAGCGTAGCATCCAAAGCTCGGGTAGTCATGGTTCTCGGGCCTCCAAGCAGCGGGTCGGATCATGTTCTCATGGCACATGCGGCGCGCTCGATCCGGGGTGGTGCCGTGCACATACATGACAGCGTGATGGGAGGCCGTGCCGGATCCAGCTTCCGGGTCTCCGCCAGCAACTGGCCAAGGATGAGGTCGGGGAAACCAAGTGGTTGCGAACACCATGCCGTGTGATTCCCGTCCCAAGAGGTGGTAGAAGCTGGGATCGAACGGTATGGGATCATCCGTGTCCATGGTTCGCAGTTCCCAGCATTCCGCGAGGAGATCGGCATGTGAAGGTGGCAAGGCAGGGTCCAGGTCCATCAAAATGGCCTTAGTCTGTTCCATCCTGGAGATGTCCAAGGCTGGAAGCGGGTCCAGCTCCCCCAACTCCCTAGGCGTGGGAACTCGCAGCGGGTCAGTCTTGGCCGTGTCCATGACGTTTCTCCATAGATCAAGCCACCGGTTGTCGGAAGTGGTGGTGGCGTTGATGTCCGCCTCCGATGGAGGGGGATCCAAATCACCGGTGTTGTCGGAGGGGGGTTGGGGAGGGTGAGGAGTAGCCGGCGTGGGTCGGGGAGGGGGAGGGGGAGTGGAAGTGAAGGCCGCCGCAGGTGCTGGGTGAGGGGGCAAGCTAGTGTTGTGGTGGCCGGTGCGGGAAGTGGGGTGGGGTTGCTGCCCATGGTGCTGCAGTGACCAGGACGATCGTTTGTCCTGGTTGTTTCGGTGGCCGGTGTGGCTGGCGCCATGGTGGTGCATGTCCCAGCGGTTTTTGTTCTGTGGTGGGTATCCCCACGATTGGTTCCGCCAGTGTGAGGAGGACCATTGAGACTTGTTGGGATCCTTCCCGGAAGTGCGCCAGGAGTCCTTCCCGGAAGTGCGCCAGGAGGTGGAATCATGAGTAGTGTGAGTGGGTCGGTGCGAAGTCGTGGCACTGGGTGCAGGGGAGTGTCGATGGTGGGACCTGTGTCGGGGGGAGCGGGAGCGGAGGGAGACAGTGGAGTGGTGTGCACGTCGGGAGTGGTGGAGTGTCGGGAAAGGGAACGTGACCTGCTGTAGCTGCGGGATCGTCGGGTGTCGTGTCGTCGGTGCGACTTGTTGTGCCTGCGATGGTGGCTGGTGTGGGAGTGGGAGTGTCGGTGCTGCCTGTGGCGGGAACGGGATCTGCGAGAGTGGGGATGGTGCCGAGTGTCCGGGGGAGGGTGGTTGGTTGAGGAGGTAGCGGCAGGAGCCGCAGCGGCAGCTTCGGGCGCGCGCGCCGGCTGAGGCTCGGGCAGTGAAGATGGCATGCTGCTCTGAGTCATGAAAGGCATGATGGTGCCAGGTGCCAAGTTGCCGTAATTGGGAGGGCCACCGTAGGGCATCATGGCCATCGGGTTGCCAAAATTCGAGAGGCCGCCGTAGGGCATCATGGGGAAAGGTGTGAAGGATGCCGTCTGCGAGTTGGGCGACGGTACAAGGTTCATGGGCTGCGTCATCTGGGATGACAGCTGCAAGTTCGGTCCACAATTGCCTGGTGAGCCGGACGCGGTGCCGGTCGCAATGCTGTGCAGGAGCGAATGCATCATGTCATAGAGCTGGTGTCCAGCCATCTCGCAAGGGAGAGAGAAGGTTGGAAAGGGGTGAAAACAAAACCACACCTGCAGCAGAAAAGCGTCAAAGGTGCAAATGCATGCGAGCCAACTTCAACCTGCGAATCGAAACCAAACAGAGGGAATTCCACCAGGGGACCGCCAAAACCCCGCGGCAACGGCAAAAGTTTTCACAGAAATGCATGCGAGCACACAGGGGTTCTCAGAGGTGCCTGTCAAGTGGCCTCATGAAAGTGCCTCATGTGGCTATGCCGATGAATCTGAACTGAACTCATCCGAGACGAAAGCTTCCATGAACGCTACGAATTGCAGAGTTGGTGTATGACCAACTCGTCACTGGCGCATGAAGCTTAGGAGCCTGAAACCTCGTGGGTGCAGCCTTGCTTCAAAGGCAGGCAGTGCAGGCAGTGCAGGCGCATGAAACCAGCAGAGCACCAGTAGGGTGCGGAATACCTTAAGACCTCAAGCTGCAGCCTTGATCGTGGTCAAACGCGCTGAACTGAACTGCAGCTTGAACTTGAACACTTGAACGGTCTTCCCCTCGCAGGGGGCTCCCGCATATGGCGAGTCCAGCCCACAGCGCCATGTCGGACAGGCCGTGGGTAAACACACTTATCTCGAGAGGCTTCACTAGCCGAGATGCAAAACGCAGTCAGTAAAAATGCTTGAATGCAAATGCAAATCAACAGGTCACAACATCGACACCGAACAGGAAGCAACAGCGACAAACAGAAACCGCAAAAAGAATCAGGAAAGAGGGTCAGGAAATAGGCAGGTACGCCGGATTGATCAGATCCGGTATCCACCGAAATGCCGTAGCTTCATTGGACTGGATAGGCAAATCGGCTCCAGTCCCCCTGCAATGTGGAATTTCCGTCCGTGCTCCAGGACGCTTCACGCACACACACACACACACACACACACACACACACACACACACACACACACACACACACACACACACACACACTCACTGTGGAATGTCCATTACCATTCTCATGGAGATTATGAGAAAGGGGATTCGACCAAAGCGGACGCGCAAGGAAATCTGCATAGGTTGCCTTTCAAAATATCTCTAAAGCTCAGTTCATCAAGCGCAACTCCTTCGGAAACGTTTGCAACACCAGCCATGCCCGGTGTCCTAGTGGAAAAATCGACACAGGTACATAACTAGAAAGCTGCAAGTGGAATTCCTCGATTTTGAACCAAGCATAAACAACCGTGACCAATAGTTCTGTTGCGGGAGAAGCCCCCTTGGGTTTGGTTTTCACGACAAACCGGACAAGGACACCAACCATCAAAGCCGCAGCCGACTTTCGGCTTCAAAAACACATCTGAATGGCCGACCCAAGGAGGTAAGCCGCCCCACCTGGCCCCTTCCGCTCCCTTCGCCCTCCCCCCCCCTCCGCTTGCCGCGAAGGGGCTGAAGGACCACCGTGCGTTGACTTCCTGGAAAGGGGGGAAGGGGCGAAGGAGCGATTCTCCCACATTCTCAAAAGGTTGCCGACATCTGGTTGTTGAAACGGGTATGTTTCAGTATCAGAGTTTGCCCCAACATGAAGGTGTTTTGTTTGGTTTTCCGGACAAGCCTGAAACAGGATACCCCCAAACAACAAGGCACGCCCTGCAAACCTGTTTTGGCACTTGCGGTCCTCCAGCGCCTTCTGCCATGCCGCCGCGATCGCCTCGCGGAACTGCTCTGCCAAGAACATCCGCCGACCTGAAAGCGGGGGGGGGGGTTAAGGGAAGGGCAGGCGCAAGGGAGAGGATATGGCTGAATTTGTTGTGGGTTTGCGACAAGAATTGTGCACGCTTAAAGAAAAACATGTGTTTTTGGTTGGTGTTGGATTTCCTGGGTTGGAAAAGGAAAACCACCGGACACCAGGAGTGCGGAAAGGGTTCCATTTTGGCCAGGAGATGTTCACATGTTGCCTGATTCGAAGAATCCAAATCCTCCTTAATCAACTGATCGTTCGAGAGAGAGAGAGAGAGAGAGAGAGAGAGAGAGAGAGAGAGAGAGAGAGAGAGAGAGAGAGAGAGAGAGAGCGAGAGAGAGAGAGAGGGGTCTCGAGAGGTGGAGCCGAGAGGTGGAGCCGAGGCAAACTCCTTATATTCCCCCTTCAACATTGCCCCACCAAAAGAAAGTTCCCCCTGAGCCCCAAGCGGGCCGTGCCAAGTTGCATTTCTGTTGGAAGGATCCCTCAAGGGATCATTCTTCCAGGCCATGAAAAGGAACAATGGTGGAAAGGAACAATGGTCGGAGTGGAGGCCTCAGGTTTCCAGGCCAAGCTCCACGTCACCCAGAAAACCCTCCGATCAGAAGTTTTGATGGCCTTGCTCTCTTCGTTCAGGGCGGTTCCAATCGAAGGCGGGGAAAAGACGACCAGAGCAAAGGGTTTGGTAAGATAATGGAACCACCTTGAGCAAACGCACATGCTAAAGTGTCCTATGGCTGCAAATCGCTGGCTTTGACACAGAGGTCCAACTCGAAATACGGCTTGCACCCCTTTTGCGATATCTGGTCAAGATGACCAAATCAAGCACCCAAAGTCTTGAGACCCCAAGTCCAACGCTCAGTCCAAGAATAAAGCGGCCCCTGGCGACAGAAACCAAAACCCCGCAACTTTCACTCCTTCCACCCCCTTCCCCCAACACCCCGCAGGTCGAACTCCAAAAGGGCCACGGGGCGTGCTTGCGAGGCCGGGCGCGAGAGGCTGGAGCTCAGTGGATTCTCAGAGTCCTCCTCAAGCGACAGCCGAACCCAAAGAACCTGTGCGGAGGTAGCCTTCAGGGGGAGAGGTGCAAGGATTCTCCTTCAGGGCGGACGAGGCGGCGTCACAGGGTCCGCAAGCAACAAACCAAAGGGAAAGTGAAAGTGGACGTCTGCAGGGGTCATGGTCTCCCCCATGTTCCAGGTGTGGGACAGCACATAGCTGTCGGAAGAACAAGGCGGGGCCTGTGCCAGGGCAAATGGGCAAGGGAGGTCGAAACGGGAAGTAGAACTAGGGGTGGGTTTGACCACCAAATGATTCCAATCCAATTTTTGAGCAAATCTTATGTAGGAGGCATCTCATCATTTCCTTTTGGGTTAAGCTCCCTTCCCCCCCCCCCCGCCCCGGCGTCCGAATTTGAGGCAAAATCAAAACCTGGTGCTATAGCGTCCTGTCATGGGTCAAAAGGGCAGATAGCCGCGCCTATTTGTGATTTGGACTGTCCCTTGTTCACCTTCTTTGTACTCAGGCTTTAGCACTTCGCCCCAACCTTCGGAAATGCCACAAAACGTCTCCCCCCCCCCTCCCCCCCAAGAACAAAGCAACCACCGGAAGTGTTCAGGAATCCTAGCCGCCTTTGAACCCTCTGGAACCCTACCTCATCACCAGCAGCAATTCCCCCCCTCCCAAAAAAACATCTTTACAAATTGGAATAGAATAAGCAACCTCCCCCTGCCAACCTATCCCCGGCCGAAGGGCTAGGGTTCGGCAACGGCCTGTATTTTTTCCCAGGTTGGTCGGGGCAGTCCCGACCCAGAAAAGCCGCAGAGGTTTCACCCTTTCGAAGAAGCGCAGCAAGGTCCCGAGTTCACTTCTTCAAAGAAGCTTGGTCGCCCAAACCACCAAACAAAGGAAAAAAAGCACCACCACCACCACCACCACCAGAACCACCACCTCCTCCAAAAAAAAAAGGAACGAAAAAAACAGGAAGCCCCGCGCCCCAACTAGCCGCCCCTCCTGGAAGGCCGCGTCTGCGTCCTGAACCACCTGCCTGCTCGGGTCCTTGGACTTCTCCTAGTGACTGAGAAATCCCACCCTGGACTTTTTCCTTTGTTGCAACCAAACGTTCCCAAAAACCATCTGAGTTCTTACATGATGTCTGAGGTTCAAAGTTTCTCCTCAACTTCAAGACACCTAGGTGGATCATGGTGAGGGGGGAAATGTTCCTTGTTGTTTCTCTGTGAGGAGCAACGTGTTCATCATGGTTTGCCCAAAAATGAGTGGGAAGAAAAAAACAGTCGAGTGGGTGTTTGGGTGAAGCTTACTCCTTTCATGGGCTTTCGGTCGTTTCGGGGAGACAAAACCGTGAGGTCCATCTTTTGCCTTCCGCCCCTTCAGTCCCTCAAGTCCAACTGCAGAAAGGAGAACCTGAACACAACTCGTCCGCTAAAAGCTCGCCGCTTCTTCCTCATGCAGCTCCATGCAACGCAACTCGAGATACATGTGAAAACCAACAAAAGGTTCAAGCAAGCACAGACTGGAAGGAACGACTGTGCGGCCAAGTCAAACAGATTCGTTGGGTCCCTTTTTCTAATGAAACAGGAGGAGCGCTAAGCTTGGGAATTCCTGAAACCAAAGGGCAAAACTCCCGGCAGAAAAACAACAAAAAAAAGACAAAGCCCCGTTGACTGGCTCCTTAGGTCGCCGCTTCCCCATCGCATTTAGGCCTTCGCTCTCGAAAGGTCTGTCCTTTTTGGGCTTGGGCTGCGGGAACAGCAGTGCAGTGCTCTCTGCCGCCAGCTCCTCTCCGACGAAAAACTGTTTTTTCCCGGAGCTTTAGCTCATAAACGAATGGGGGGAAGGCCCTGCCCCGGGCTTGCTTTGCCCCCAGCTGAGCCCGTGACAATCTGTCCAGTTTAGATAGTGCACATATCTAGAAATACTTGACTGCATACCCGTGTATATGTGTTGAATCTGGAACGAAATCCCACACGCTTGCCAGGTGCCCGAAGAATATGTGGGCTTGCAACAAAGCAGAAATGAGTATTCAGCCCAAAGGATTGACCTTCATCATTTTGTCAAGTCCAAGGAGAATTGCCTCGCAAACCCTCAAAATGATCATGAACTCCAAACACAACACACAAGCACTTGGAGGGGCTGGACACTCCAAACGAACCAAGAGTGCAAAGCACTCGCTTACTCTGTTTCTTGAATCTTGAATCGCATGTTGCTCCTATTTGTTGTCAATAACAGAATGTCTTGCTGTCTTGAATTCCAAACATTGATCCGGCAGCGTTTTCAGGAACAAACCTTCTAATTAGCAATTTAGGCCTGTGCTTCGTCACATTACACGCTACTTCCTTCCCACAGAAGATTTTCATCACGCGAGTGTGCGCAAGTGTGGATCCATGGGGGATCCAACACGCAGCTGCAAAAGCCGCAGTGAGTTAGGGAGCTGCATCTAAACCCCTCGAATCCTCTCAGACAAACGCAACCATCGTAGGGATATGAGGTCCGATATAGCCGACACGGCAAAACAAGTCGCTCGGTCTTTCTCCAACATGGATTCATAGTTTAGAGTCTTTAGACTAATCAAGCGTTGGGTCGCCATGGTTTCGGTGCTGACTCCACAAGTCGGAGTAAATCTCCACACATTGCAAGCCCCGTTTTGGTGTCTGTGTCCAATTTTAACAAAAACTGTGCAGGGCAACCTTTGAAAGGGTACAACAACTCGACCACTACAGCACAAGATGTCAGATCCAGCCGATTTTCGCGCTGCGCCGACTAATGGTTCCCTCTCCTTGACGCGGAAGAGGCCGCGGGGCTCAGGAACCTTCTCCTGTTTCGGATTGGTCGCCTTTGGAAGCAGAATTCCAAGCGATGGGGTTAGAGGAGTTGGTGGTTTGGATTGGTGGTTTAGAGGTGTGCCGGTATCCTCAAATCAAACCAGGGGTTCAACTCCCCAAACCAATCCAAACCAACAGTTGGAGGTAACCGGACTTGATGTTTGCTTCTGGAGAAAGCTCAAAGGAGATGTATGTGTGTGTGCGCGCGCGTGTGATTTACCCACGGTGTCTTCAACCCAGTGTGTGTTGTGTGTGTGTGTGTGTGTGTGTGTGTGTGTGTGTGTGTGTGTGTGTGTGTGTGTGTGTGTGTGTGTGTGTGTGTGTGTGTGTGTGTGTGTGTGTGTGTGTGTGTGTGTGTGTGTGTGTGCGGACTTGATGTTTGCTTCTGGAGAAAGCTCAAAGGAGATGTATGTGTGTGTGCGCGCGCGTGTGATTTACCCACGGTGTCTTCAACCCAGTGTGTGTGTGTGTGTGTGTGTGTGTGTGTGTGTGTGTGTGTGTGTGTGTGTGTGTGTGTGTGTGTGTGTGTGTGTGTGTGTGTGTGTGTGTGTGTGTGTGTGTGTTGTGTGTGTGTGTGTGTGTGTGTGTGTGTGTGTGTGTGTGTGTGTGTGTGTGTGTGTGTGTGTGTGTGTGTGTGTGTGTGTGTGTGTGTGTGTGTGTGTGTGTGTGTGTGTGTGTGTGTGTGTGTGTGTGTGTGTGTGTGTGTGTGTGTGTGTGTGTGTGTGTGTGTGTGTGTGTGTGTGTGTGTGTGTGTGTGTGTGTGTGTGTGTGTGTGTGTGTGTGTGTGTGTGTGTGTGTGTGTGTGTGTGTGTGTGTGTGTGTGTGTGTGTGTGTGTGTGTGTGTGTGTGTGTGTGTGTGTGTGTGTGTGTGTGTGTGTGTGTGTGTGTGTGTGTGTGTGTGTGTGTGTGTGTGTGTGTGTGTGTGTGTGTGTGTGTGTGTGTGTGTGTGTGTGTGTGTGTGTGTGTGTGTGTGTGTGTGTGTGTGTTTGTGTGTGTGTGTGTGTGTGTGTGTGTGTGTGTGTGTGTGTGTGTGTGTGTGTGTGTGTGTGTGTGTGTGTGTGTGTGTGTGTGTGTGTGTGTGTGTGTGTGTGTGTGTGTGTGTGTGTGTGTGTGTGAGTGTGTGTGTGTGTGTGTGTGTGTGTGTGTGTGTGTGTGTGTGTGTGTGTGTGTGTGTGTGTGTGTTTTGTGTGTGTGTGTGTGTGTGTGTGTGTGTGTGTGTGTGTGTGTGTGTGTGTGTGTGTGTGTGTGTGTGTGTGTGTGTGTGTGTGTCTGTGTGTGTGTGTCTGTGTGTGTGTGTCTATGTGTGTGTGTCTATGTGTGTGTGTCTATGTGTGTGTGTCTATGTGTGTGTGTCTATGTGTGTGTGTCTATGTGTGTGTGTCTATGTGTGTGTGTGTGTGTCTATGTGTGTGTGTGTGTGTGTGTGTGTGTGTGTGTGTGTGTGTGTGTGTGTGTGTGTGTGTGTGTGTGTGTGTGTGTGTGTGTGTGTGTGTGTGTGTGTGTGTGTGTGTGTGTGTGTGTGTGTGGGTGTGTGTGTGTGTGTGTGTGTGTGTGTGTGTGTGTGTGTGTGTGTGTGTGTGTGTGTGTGTGTGTGTGTGTGTGTGTGTGTGTGTGTGTGTGTGTGTGTGTGTGTGTGTGTGTGTGTGTGTGTGTGTGTGTGTGTGTGTGTGTGTGAGTGTGTGAGTGTGTGTGTGTGGTGTGTGTGTGTGTGTGTGTGTGTGTGTGTGTGTGTGTGTGTGTGTGTGTGTGTGTGTGTGTGTGTGTGTGTGTGTGTGTGTGTGTGGTGTGTGTGTGTGTGTGTGTGTGTGTGTGTGTGTGTGTGTGTGTGTGTGTGTGTGTGTGTGTGTGTGTGTGTGTGTGTGTGTGTGTGTGTGTGTGTGTGTGTGTGTGTGTCTGAGTGTGTGTGTGTGTGTGTGTGTGTGTGTGTGTGTGTGTGTGTGTGTGTGTGTGTGTGTGTGTGTGTGTGTGTGTGTGTGTGTGTGTGTGTGTGTGTGTGTGTGTGTGTGTGTGTG